GCGTTCTGAAATGAAAGTAACAACACACTAAGCAGTTTTACTAGCAAATTCCCTAATAAAATTGATGAAATTCAGTAACATTAGCACTTTTTGCTTTTTTCGTATTTATATTTGGCAATTCGGCGTACTGCTTTAAATTAGGTTGGTCCAATGAAGGCATATGAATTCAGTAGCACTCAATAAATATCGGTGTGAATGAATAGAGGATTGCCTGTATTGGAATTTTTTTATGGTAATCCGGTTCGCTCTTTTTACCTAATCATAGTTCTTTCGGTTCAGTAGAATTAAAATCAGTATGCATTCTATAAAAAAAGTAAACGCTAAATTTGTTGACATTGACAAAAAGAAAAAAGCTTATTTTAATGATTTAAGATGAAAAACATCCTTGATTTTACAGTCAATTAATTGCCTTTGAAAATTATATTTACATTTAACGAATACCAAAATATTTCCTTGTTTTTGATGGAAATTTTCTCAACAAAAGAGCTTCTATTTTATAGACAAAAAAAGTCATAAAGTGACATTTTCTTCTGTTTTCTTCAAATCATCCTCATTCTCATATATTTACCACTTGGTACATACAAATATATTGTTACAATATTGTCACAAAGTGTTTGTACAGTAACGACGATTTTTAACGATGACAACACTAAAGATATAAATAACAATTTAAAATTACGTTTAAAAGACTGGAATAATTTCGCATGAAACGATCAAAGTAGGCAATTTAATGGCATCTTCAGCAATCAAAATGCAAGCAAGTTTTTCCATTACAGACAACAGATGGTACCAAAAAATAAAAGTGCCAGTCTTATGAGTTCCAAATGTTTTTTTATAATAGTTGAAATTCTTCCATTTGATTCTTTAAAAAAAAATCAATTGAGGTGATTTCAAATAAAATATTTATTTGTAAAAAATAATTTTCTTCATTAATCATCTTAATTTTGCAACTAAAAATTATAGCAATCAATTGTTTTGCTTAATATTAAATAGATTTTTTTTAGCTCTCAATTTTTATATAATAATTACTTAACAAAGTACAGTTTTAGTTCAATTTCAGTGGCACATTGTGCCATGCTGTAAGCTAGAATATAAAAAAATGTAAAACTCCAGAACAATTACACCAACAACTATTAAATGAAGATTTATTGGCAGCAAAAAATTCTTAGAGGGCATCTTAAGGACAAAACAATTCAAACCTTCATGGTCAAACGCGAGTAGTATAATTTTTGCAAATTAATATCATATATAATAGGTAAATTTTTTTTACAGTGAATTAAATCAATCATTTCTGCATGTCTTATGTAGTTTAACATAGTGCTTTTTTATGTAATGTGGTATTATGAACTTCTTTTAGTTATGATTTCAGCATCGGCGCTATCAATGGACTCCATGGAATATTCATTCAACGTAGCGAGCCAGTGAAACGAGCTTAACTAGTAATGGCAAGGACTCTTGAAAATATTATAGAGATACGGAATGCACCATCTACTTGAGTTTAAAAAGTGGAGATAATTGCGATTTTTCAATATAAATTGTAAAACTGTAAACTCATTATGGAAAAAACGACGCTTTTTTTTAATTCTGCAATATTAAGTCCAACGAGGCAAATATTTTAGGAAAAAAGTATCAGAATTTATATGCATCTATTTGTCATTCACAATAAATTCACCATTTTCATATTGAGATTAATCATCACGAAGATCATGCAGAATTCTTCCAAGCCTTAAATCCGAATATCCGATCTGACTCTATGAAATGCGAAGAATTCTTGAGAAGTATACCAAACTAAAAATCTACGATCCTTTGTTTTAAGATCGCATATTATTTTAAATATTGCTCGATAGAAGATGAATAAATTATGGCTCAGTTGATATGTTTTACATAATGTTCAGAATATTCCAGGAATCCATCTTTCATTGTTCTAACAAATGTGTCACCTACTTAACTAAAAATTAAAAATTGCAAATCATAGCATTGTAACTTAAATTATTGCATGATTTAAGTTCCACAAATCATGAAAATTTGCAAGAAATGAAATGAATCATTTATAAGCAAGAAATCTTGGTAAGTCACGCCATAACAAGCCGTGTAGTATAGAAATTGCTCACAACTTGTCATATATATAAATATATATATATCAACTTATCGAAGATGTATTTAATGGCATCTGATATAATAGCTGATCGTGAGGCTTGAACACTCGTTAGCCAGTACAGCCAGTGAAACAAGAAACAATATCCACTCATCGAGAACGAAAAATTTGAACTGTGCTAATAACGTCTACAATAAATTTGTTTACCTTAAAATTTCATTTACCGTATTAAAAGAAAAAGACTAATTAATGACACTCGTTAACACTAAGTAATTATTATCTGAACCAAATTTGCAACGAACTTTAGTGGCAAAACAAAATTTTGTTTTATTTTCGACGAGTTCAAGAGCAAAGGTTTTAGATTCAAGCATGAAATTGTTTTATTATTTCCTTATTGCACATATAAACAATAAACCTTATCGTAAATAGTTGTAATGTTTTTACGGTGCAATACGACAAAAATAGAAAAACTTTTACATTTCCGGAACAACAATTACGAAATAGTACTGTATGATTTGAAAGCATCGCGTTGTATTGCATTATTATACGATGAAAATGAAAATAATAAAATTCTAAATTTCAGTAGTAAAAAAGAAATTTTAAAGAAATTTTTAGAAATTAGAAATTTTTAGAAATTTTACGCATTAAAAATATTTGAAATATTTATTATTATCAAAGTACTAAAACTATTAAAATATAATTTTTAACTTTTACTTTTAATTTTTAAAAGCAATTTTCATGTTTTTATTTCATTAGTAGAAAAAAAATTTACGAAAATATTTCTTAATAAACAACATCCGAGATATGAAATTCGATTTAAATCAGGATTTTCTTTCTCGATTTTCCTATTGAAAAATTTAGTGGAAATCGCAACAGAATGAATAAAATTGTACCATTCATGAGCTAAAATTCTTGCAGTTGAAACCTCTTTGAATCGGCTTACCCACAAATCAACTAGGTTGTTCCGAGAAACGAGTTGCTTTGCGAAACTATTGCTGCACTTTATGTACGTAAGCTATACTGCGGTACTTTTCGTTTCCAGCTTGCTGACGCTTTCCCTGTTTATGAATGGTATTGAAATGAAGAAATGAGAATCGCGTTTCAACAAATTATTTTACGACTTGAGTTACTTTTACGGTAGTAGGAAGAATATAAACGAAATGCAATCGATACAACTCTTCAGCTTTTGTCTCACTCTATAACTGTAATCAAAAAAATTATAATCGAAATTTTTGTCAGATTTAAGATTTATTTCACCATTTCACCTACAATAAATGGTGGATAGAATAGCTTAGTGGATTGTTGCTCAATTCGAAGCGCGGACAATAAGACTCTATTCCCAGCAAGAGTAAACCTGTCCAAAAATCCGGATCATACTGGCGACTCACCAGTATTTCTATCGCCAAGAGACTCTCTGGCATATTTGTCCAATGCGACAAGCCAGCGCAGCGAGTTTAACCAGTAATGGTGAAAACTTTTCAAAAAAAAGAATAGATGAAGTTTAGAAAAAATGCTGCGAAATAGATAATGAATTTCTGCGTAATTCATTTTGCATGAAAATGGTATATTTTTGCAACAAAGAACAAATTCGAAAATAAATTTTTCATTTTTTCTGCTCGCTGAAGAACAGCAAGGAATATTTAAATGATCGCACGAACTGAACGAAACGATTAATGCCAACGTGAAAAGTTAGCTCGAGCTTGTCATCAAAACGGATCCATTTTTTACAAAGAAAGCGAATGCCATTCTTATGAACATTAATAAAAATTATTTAATGGATTTCCATGGGGTAAATTGAATTGCTATTTGTTTTTTAAAAAATCTGCCTTTTTTTTAAAACTAAGGAATTCATTTGAACTGGAGAAAAAACGCCAGTCATCAAATCAAGTCTATCGTAAAATATTTTTATCAAAATAATTATTTATTAGTTCAAACAAAAATTTACTGAAAAATCGGTTAATTTACAAATATCAAGCAATAATAGAAACAGAACAATATTTCGAATTTCGGATATCATTATTTCTTATCATTTTCCATATTTCGATTGCCATTTCAGTTAGTGCATTAAATATAATCGCATAGTTCACACCGAATTCTACAATCCTATGAACAATAAACTGTTGAAAAAAAAAACAATATCGAAGAAAAATTTGATGAGCTTCGGAATTTCTCACTAACAGCAATGAATTTGTCTCTAAACCCTAAATAGTTAATTACTTAATGAAATAATGGAGCAAACCAATATGAAAACAAAGTGGTGACCCGTGTTTAATGGTAAATTCTCGTAAGATGCGAAAATCTTAATTTGTGAAAAAAAATTTTTTAAACAATGCTGATTAACGCTGGAAGACCAAAAATAAAAATTTGAAGAAAAAGCGATAATCTATTAGAAATTGATACTCGTTTCCTGATCCCGTCAGGAATATACATTCTAAATCTACCCGTAAATCGAATAAATGACCAATAAAATTTATTTGCTGTTAGAAAAGAGATGAAAAAAGTCATTTTATAGATGAGGAAACCAGTACCGAAATTAGTTTAAAGATACAAAATATATCACATTTTAACTAAGTGATGCATAAATATTACTTAGAATTTTTTAAATGTATAATACAAATAATGTACTTCATTACTGTAATCTCACCGAAAAAAGCTTAAAATGACTTCACAGAAAGATGATATAGAAGATAAGGAAAAAAAGTTTCATATCATAGAACAATTCAGTAAGATAAGATAAATTAAAAAAGAAGAAAACTAGTATATGCTAGTAATACCGACAATATCATTTCAAACTACTTCATTTAAAATCTTCATTTGAATAGATAAATTTAACATTAAAACCTCATAAACAATATCTTCTTCGTTTCCAGTACAACAGCTGGGACTGACTTCTGATGATAATACGTTACATAATGCTAAATCCAAAAATTTCAACAGATTGAATCGCAAAATCCTCGGAATCACCAGCAAGGGGTTCATTATTATATGTATCACAACGCTGTGATCGACCAAGATTTAGATCTGCATCGAGCCACAACCCATAATGACCACTACCAGCACCCATCAGTAATGAATGTTTACCTGCTTGTACGAAATACTGATTTTTTCCAGTCCAGTTATATGTTTTCAATTCTCTGAAATGAAAAATCCCGCATGAAAAATCAATAATAGCAAATCTTAGATCATTTTTATAGCTTCCTTTTATAATGCTAAACATAATAAAAATTTAAATAAACAATATTAATTTAACAATATTTATGCCAATTTGCTATGGCTCAAGCCTAATCCCCTTATCACTTTTTATAAGCAAATAAGATAAAAAAAAAAAAGAAATAAAAACATTTAATACGATTCAATTACCTTTCCTTAGTCGTTGAATTAAGAGCGAACTTAAACAGAAACGATGAGTCGCCTGTGCCAAAAAAATGTTCACCAGGGCGCAAAGCCGAACTAGCCATACCACCGAAAACATTGTCATTACAATCTTTTATTATAAGAAGTATGGGTGACATCGTATCATTCCAGTCGATCATTTTCCTAAAAAAAATATATTAACATGTCAAATAAATTAATGCACTCTCGAGATGATACTTCCAAAAAATCGAAGTAAAAAGATGAAGATTTTAAATTAAATTTTTTACTAATAACCCGAAATAACTGAATAAATGGCTTTTGCAAAGAATCGCTTATTCGGCCCGCCGGAACATTAGGGATCTTAACTAAATATATAAAGTAGGATAGGGAAGTAGAGAAATGATTAAGCGAAATATGAAAGAAAGTAAATGAATAAACAAATTTTCAGGAATTAATAACGAGATAATTAATAATGCAATAAATCTAAACTTCCTGTTAAATATCGATAATTAACTGACATGATAAATAGCTACATATCAAAAAATCCATGAATTAATCAACAACTAATTTATAAAATAAAAATTTTAAGGCAAAAAACATCGACACAGATTAAACAAATTTCATAACAGTTGAAAGTTCCATTAAAAAAAATAATTGATTTCATTATCGACGAAAATATTTCTAACCTGTAAAGAGTAGACAAAGAATAACCATGTTTATCTGAACTATAAATCAAATTCCATGGATAGCCTTCAGCTCGAGGAGGCAGAATTTTCGCAATCTAAAATCAAAACAATTTCAATCCAACAATTGATTTTCGATAACTATTGCCTATTTTTAGCAATTTACTGATAAAATAATGTAATTTCCATATAATTTCCAAGCTGCCCAAAAGAAAACAACGAAAAAAAAGGAATTTCGACATCGCAACATGCCTCACGAATCATTGATTCATCCAGTATTTTCGATGTGCTTGCTCCCTCCGGCAATGGAAGTACTTTGGAATTAGCTTGGTCGAGTGATAAACGACGACAAATCTCATCAATACTAACGAACTCCCATCCTCGATTTAGTGAACCACTACCAAAGGGTAATGATTCAGGTTTCTGTTCTATAAATAATTACTGCTTTCACTGGAAAAAGATCCATTCATTTTTTTTAATAGCTAAAATTCTAAAATTTGCCATCAACAAATGCAAAAAATCTTTGTCTCATTTTATAAAAATTTCCAGAATTCATAATAAATAAAATAAAATTATATTTTTATTAATTATAAACAATTTTTAATTTGAATTTTTCACTTCCAATCTACTTTCGTATAAAAATAAACAAATAAATAAATAAAAATGAAAAAAGAACAAAAAATGATCTAAAAGAAAATGAACTAAAATAATATCTATCGAGAAGCAATTAATTGCGAAGTTATATGCCATAAAATAAAAGTCAAACAATCAAATCAACATACATTTAAATTGCTAGAATTATCGCAAAAAAAAAAACTAACTTTCATGTTGCTTAGACTTTGAAAATCCTATACCAGGTAACGAAAGAGCTCGAACTTTATTAAGCGATTTTACAAGCGAATATTTCTTGCGATTCTTTGATGTTTTCATCATTTTCTCATGCGAATTTAGAAATTCATTGTTCGATTCGGAATCACTTGCAGGAGTTTGCAAAATATCCGATGTGCTATTCGTTAAACTCTCATTCAAATATGTTCCCGAATCGAACGAATAGACCGATTTTTTAAATGGTGGTTTCGTTTTTCTCGTATTTTCATAACTATTATCGATATCGTCATTTTCACAGATCGTTCTTATCTCATTATTGTTATCCTCCTCGTCCCCCTCCTCTTCTATCTCCTCCGCAGCTATCGATTCAAATCCTGACGAATATACTGAATTCATCGAATCATATGTGATAAGTTCTCTCGAATTATCAACATTCGCTGCAGTCGTAGTCGTCGTCAAATCAACATTTGTTTTCTCATCGAAACCACTACTCGACCGTTCCAATTTCCTCTTTGATATAAAAAATCCTTCATCTAATAGTGCCGAATTATGTTGCAAAGTATGTAAAATAGGAGGCGGATAAAATGGTACTTTTGCGAAATTCAATGAGCAATTTCTCACTGGCGTTGAGCATTTACGTAATATTGGACCTTTGGAGTATTTTCTATTGTCCATTATACCACTATGATTCGTTACGTTCTTTGCTCTTTGCATTGAATCCATAAATTCAATCGTACTCATTGCGATAAAACAAAACTTAGCAAATTACAAATTTTAAAAATATTTCTTTTTTAAAATTGTTTATCGTTGTCGTTCACTTGATTGATAAATTTTTTTTGTCGAATTTCTCAAAAAAAAAAAGAAATTAATCGAAAATCGCAAAAATTATAAACATGAAATAATAACTTTTTTATCGAAAAAACGAACTCTGATAAATACGATAAGGGAAAATTTAAAAAAATTGAAAATTATGCATAAAATATTCATTAAATTAACTCTTCAAATGAGACATTTATTTTTTAAAATCAAATAATTGTTTGCTTTATTTATTTACTTCGTTTAAGTAGTTATTCGAACAGAATGAACGAATGAATGAATGAATGAATGGATTGAATGAAAGACTGCTTATTCGCCGTATAAAATACAAAGCATACCACCATTACCATTACCAATGACAATCGTCTTAACTAAATAAACTCATAGCTATCTTGGATGGAAAGAAAACTATTACATTGAAATAATAAGACTAGAAAAAATCGATTCAATGTTTATATTTCTTATATACTTGAGAACACAAACTTCAAAAGCTATATTGACTGACTAAGTTTCTTCGCTAAGAGGATAAACTTTTAAGAATCAAAACAGCAGAAACTGGAATTTTACTGGATTAAAGGAAAGACGAGTAATAAAAATCACGATAAATAAATTGAGGAAGTTCAATAATGCTCAAAGGGGAATCGCGGGAAACGAGATTTTATAACACATCTTTGACATCTTTATAACTGAATTAGAATAACAGACTTAAACGATTAACGAATCATATGAAAGTCGATAATAATTGATCCCAGCTAAATGAAGTGTGGGCTGCTTAATAACTGAATAAATTAAGATTCTGGATAAGTGACTCTGGATAATGGTCCACTTCAACTTGATTATCTCATCCTAATAGATATTAGATGCAACTAAAGCAGAAATGCTGCGAAAAAGAAAAACACACAGTAAAAAATTACTTCACTAATTATCTTGTCAAATCAACTTTGCTGACCATATTTATGAGTTTACAAGCCTATAAATTAACAAGGAATAAAACTGTCATCAAACTGAGAAATGAAAATGGTTACGATATGAAAAAAAATAGGAAAAATATCATTCATTCACATTCATTTATTCATCCATTTATTCGTAATTATTGTTCTCTCTAATTTATTTATCAGATAATCAGATCAAATTATCCGAACGTTTATAGTGGCTGAAATTACCTTAATGAGAGTAATCTTGCCTCAGACGATAATAAAAAATTTGGATGATTCTGGTGATCTTTGTGTAATCATTATTATTCTACCAACGAGTGAAATTTCCTGGGTAAAAACTTCTATCATGCTAATAATAATAATAGCATGTGGAAGTAAAATAATAAGCTCTATTCTTAGTTACTTATTATCAGATAATAACAAGTAGAAAATAGAAAATATTTAAAGAATAATAAAGATAAAAAATCCAAGGAAGAATAAGGTCGAAACGAAAAGAAAAAATATTTTCTTCCTATTTTCACTCTTATCAAAACCATTTGATAATTAAAATTTTAATCCATCAAAATAAACATCAACTTTTCCTCTTTCAATCATTTTCTATCCAAATTACGAAATTTTAATAAACGATCATCGTTAATCGGATGGATGTATATATTAAATAAGCGGACAGATGGATGGATGAATGGATACATGGAACTATGTGTGGATGGATAAGGATCCAGCAGTCAAGTGAACGCTGAAGAAATTTTCTTATTTAATTAAAGTGCAAAATTATCAAGGTAGTTCAAATGAATTTAAAATGAAACACAAATTAACCCAAAATTCATTTCGAAAAAATAAAAAAAATAAGGAAAGCTTTTAGCAAATATTTCATTAAATTCCTCCCAACTAGTTTCATTTTTTTTTTTTACCTCTTTCGCTTTCCTTTCCCAATTTTCTCCCGATTTCAACTAATTTTTATCATAAAAACAATAGAAAATGCGGATCATCAGCGAAGTTCATAGGAATCCATAAACTTTAACAAAATATCCATTTAATCATCTTCTTCGAATAGCATTAAATTTCTGATTTCTGGATCTGCTTAATTAGCTCCACTAACTATTCTAAGAATCAGATCCCTTCTTCACAGAATTACAGAACAGAACAGGACAGAAGATACAGATAAGACAGAAATCGAATCCATTATGTTTAACTGGAATCGAAGCAATACAATCAATCATTCAGTCAAAATCATTTCAAAAAGAATGAAAATTTACGCAAAATTATATAATTTGTGCAAAAAATTCCTATAAAAGCACTAATAAACCTTGTATGGATAAAATTATCTTTTATATTATATCAATTATCTCGTGACTTTCGTTTAAATTATTTTATAATGATTTCGTATAAACCAAAAAGCATTTAGATCAAATCTCCTTGTCATTTAAAATATGAAGAATCAAAACAAAATTTTGTTATAACAAAATATAGATAAAAGATGATTTTATCTGATCACTTTAAACGTCCCTCTTTTAACAGTCTAATAGAATAGAATACAACTTTTCATAAACCACTACTGGCCTGGTGATTGCTGAGGATATATCTTTACCTTGTTTATCTATTTCTACTGCATTATGACTGCATATTCTGGCTGCGAAAAGAACGCCTCAGATGGAATGCCGATTCAAAAGTGGTATATCCAATTAGATATATAAATATGGCACGATAAGCGAGTGGACAGATACATAGATTATCGTGTTGATAGGGCAATAGGAATAGAGTTTGACTGGATTAAACTTGTTATTGCCAAATGATTCGCTGGCAAAAATTTTTAGCCATACTAATAGGCAGTGTAGTAAGTCGAACCAGAAATGTGGGCAGCTGCTAACCACTCACTTACCTTATACATATGTATACCAATTTTAAAAGGTCTGGAATATAAACGATAAATTAAAAATATTTTTCAATCAAAAATACATTTTCACTAAAATTTCAAATATTGCAACGCAATCTTACACTATATTTCACAATATTTGTAAACAATCAAAATGATAAGATCGAAATCACTTCGAGTATCTTTTCTTTATACTCCCATCATATTTCACAATTTTGCAATAAAATAAGGCAGAAATCATTTGAAAAATCTTATAAATAAATTAGCTATATAAACAATTATCGTTGTCGAATATGCCTCGATTTAGCAAAACCAATATCTCAATTATCATAAAAACCCAATATGATAAGACCGAAATTACTTCGAAAACGTTAAATTCTTAGAAGACAACAATTTATAATAAAAAAAGCCAAAATAATTGACTAAGTCATCAATCATAATTATCAACATGAAAAAATAGCTTTTGAAAGAAATCGATCAATATAAGTAATAGGTCTAATAACCTTACCAAAAAAAAATTTTCATTATCAACTTGATCAACTAAAGTCGAAAGAACCAAAAATCTTGTGCAAGTTTATCATTTACCTGCAAAATTTAAGAACTTCTAGGAAAGTAAAAAAAATTTCAAAATGCCGAGAAACTAAAATTTATTTAGTATTCGTAGCCCTTTAAAATGTGAACCAAAAAACCAAACATAAAAAATTTAAAAATTTTCGTATTATAAACCAAATTTTCCTTTCTTTTTAAATAAATGCTCTAATTTAAAATGCCATTAAAACACTTTATTTAGTTGTAAAACTGAATAATTTATAGCAACCGGAAAGCAATAAGAAAATAATTAAGACATAAAAATATATCAAATATTAACGAAAGAGCTATGGAACAATATCATGCCAACAATGAGAATGCAAGAAGAAGAAAAATCAAATCGCCAATATATTAAATAATTTACAAAGCGAGCACCACACATTCATCACACAGCAAACCGGGAATCCTAACGGAAGGAGATATTTCATCACCATAACGGCGACTAATTCAATCAAATTTTACGCTAATATAATCGCTCCGGCCATTGTTCTCCTTCTTCGATGATCGTAATACTCTAAGAAGCGACAACACAAACTTACGAGAACCACTGGAGCGTAAAGTTTCTCCTTCTCCTTCTCCTTCGATTAAAGAGCCAACCGGAATAACCATGAACTGCATAAGACTATGATAAAAATTCAAATGAGATTGCACGAGACAAGCTAAACATAAGAATACTGCGAACAATTTTCTATACTCATACTCTCAAAAAAAAGCTTATAGAAAACAAAATTTGATAAAAATTTCCATATCCCGCATTGCACCGCATTAATTTACACCATAATGTAAATGTGTAAAAAGATTCGACGACGTCCAAAACGACCAAACGCAGACACAATGAAGTGCCAATGAATTCACGCTTATAAAACTTATTAATTTATATGGCCTCAATAAATTCAAATAAATTTCCCTTTTCCTCCCATAAAAACTGATTATTCTGAAGATAATCGGCTTCAATTCGATTATGTCAATTAATTCCGGAATTCATTTAAATTCCTGAAATATACGATTCCTCATTCCAACATGATAAGGTTTCATTTCGAAAGAATGTCTCAATTGTCGATAAGTTGAACTTCTCGTTGGTTTTCCGATTTTTTTAAATCACTACAGATATTCTGGTTAAAGAATAAATATTTCAATACTAAAGAGAGTGCAAAATTCGCAAATGCAGTTTTCAAGGTTATGAATGAATGAATGATATATAACATCTGAGAACAACGTCAACCCATTTTTAAGTTAGGCTCGCTCGTCAGATTAGACAATCTCGCTATGGAATCACTTGGCGATAGGCTTACGTGTGATTCGTCATCCGCATTTTTTAACGACGAATCTATTGCCAGGAATAGAAACTCCGATAAACGCTCAGAAATTATAGCAACAAAAACTCGCACTAAACTATTCTATCATCGTTTCCATATCAAATATGAAATAAAAATAAAAATAAAATAAAAATAATATTAATTTTTAAAAATAAAATAATTAAATAAGATAAGCCATAACTCAAAGGCAATAAAAAATAAAATTTTCCATTCATATCGAATATAATTTTTTATTTAATAGCTAAAAAAAAATGTAGATGACATATAGTTCACATCTAATTTCAGAACTACGCAATTCGAATAACCTTGACAGTTTCCTTTCTTTCAAAATATAACCTTTGCTCGGTCATTAAATAATTATAATTACTGACAACTAACTGAACTAAGCGAGCAAGAAACCGAGCTTTCATCTAGTTTTTGAGTATTTCTCGAGATATTTTTCCTTAACGATGATTCTCTTTATTAACGATGATTAGATCTATAATATCGAAAATTTAAAGAATATACTATTTAAAGAATATACTATGTGAAAGAATATACTATTTTTTCGTGTTTATTTTTTTCAAAAATTTTCTACTTCTGTTTGAACTCGTTCTGCTAATTTGTCGGATTAGGCAAATTTTGCTACAGCCCCTTATCTGATGACAGAAATATAAGTGAGTCACGAGAATCACTTGGAATTCTTGGAAGACAGGTTTACTCCTGCGAGAAGTAGAATCCCAGCATTGCGCCCCTCCGAAAGGAGAGCAACGATTCATTGAACCATTCTACTCACCTATTAAATTATTGTAAGGACTGAATTCGAAAAATGCCAAATCATACGACAAATACGAATTTTTAGTTTTCCGAACAATGAATGAAAATTCAAACTATCGACGAATAATTTTTGAATTAATGATAATAATGTATGATAAAAAATTTAATTGTAGAGAAGAAGCCGAAAAAGATGAAATTTTCGCAGAATTTTATATTATCTATGCTGCATATTCTGCTAATATATATATATTTTTTTACGCTTATTGGGATGAATGTATTTCACATATAGCTAACTTCAGATCTGTCGTTAGTTCAGTATGCTTGGAATATTTCAATCTGCTTGTCTATCAACAAAATCAAATAGGTAACCTGGTACTATTTTATTCTTGAAAAAGATATTAGAGAAGAAATTTCTTAATATCACCATTCGTTTTTCTTTTCTCTACATCAATTAGTAATTCCATGAGTCAGTCAATGAGTCAATGAATCAGTTATTAAGACAATAAATTAACCGAAATGAAAACAGTAAAACTACTGTGAAAAGAAATTAACACATGAAACCCATGTGAACAAAAGATTTCTACAAATGATGAATGATTTAAATTCATTATATCATTAAAAACCACAAAATATTACACTTTTATATTTTTTTAACCCTAAGAGCACCAAAAAATGATTCCTTATTTTTCAAAGTTATTCGTACCCCCAAATTGCCGAGATTCCCAAATCCTGATCGCTATTATAGAGGCCGATGGAATTTCGAAAGGTGTTGATGAATCTCAAAAAGCCGATTGAAAGATTATTAAGGCATCGACAAGCAAGTAAATAAAAAACAGGACTAGTTTCCCAATGTATATCAAATTTTCCTTTACTCATGTATAAGGAAAATGTAAATTTTTAACAATTCCACCATTAATTTTTATTAATTCATATAATACAATTGTGCAAAATTTTCGGGAATAACAGAAATTCAAAGGGAAAAAATATTCCTTTTCTAGAAGTCAGTGCAAGAAAAGCGTTGAAAAACCTTGGCACTATATAGAAAGAAAACATAATAAATATTTCAGTCCATCGATAACAACCATTCGCATGCACTATAACTATTCACTCTAAATATTCAGTCTGCCATCCGATCTATAAAATGATAGGCCTCTCATCATAAATTTAATATGCCTAAATAAATTTGGATAGAAAAACTCATAAAAAAAAGGAAAAGCGATGCAAAAAAACGTTTCATGTTTATCAAATTAATCAGTCCACACCGCTAATCAACTCGTTTATTTTAAATGAAAGTACTGCGCAAAAACAACAAAAAGTCAAGCAATAAATCTCAAATCATTCATACTTTTGCAGCAAAAATCGTAAACTGGATAAATCGAAAAGATTAACAATATACACTAAATCGCCCTCTCCGCAATAAACTCATATAAATAATTTGATTTCAAAACATACTTGTTGTTGATCAAAAGTCATAAATAATCATTAAACAATCTCAATATACTATCGAATAAAACCTGAATAAATTCAGATAAAAAATCCAGTTCAATCATCCCGTTAGCTAACAAATGAACCAGATCAATCATTTGCGAAAAATTCTAAAGAAATGCGTAACCTAGAAATAAAATAATTGAAAACAAAACAGGAATAGTCGTTATAGTTTATTTATAATGGATAAAAAAAAAATTTCTTATAATATTACAGATAACAATTCTAATTGATAAATCTATTCGCCTATTTATCATACAATATCATTCTATCAAATAATGGCAAAACAAACACTTTTTTTTCTCAGATTACTTTTTAAAAAAAAAAAGAAAATTCTTGCGAAAAATTCACTCGAAAAATTTCAATAATAATGCAAATTGATCGCCATCGATGAAAAACTAAATTCCAAACTAAAACAAAAAATCGCATCGTAATCGCCGATATCCTACTTTTCTTATCCTATATATTATTCCAATCTATATTTTAGCTCTTTTCAATATCTATTCGAATAGCGTGCATCTCACTTATTCTATTTTCTTATTTTCCTTGAAATAATAGGAAAAATATGCTCAATGATAGATAACATTAAAGAAATAAGCAATCCAAGAAAAGGAAACGCTTCTTTAAAAAAATATAATAATTCGCTTCAATCGATTCCTTTCGAAAATCAAAAAAATTTAAGCAAAAAAATTTCAAAAAAATTCTATGATATGATGCAAATTACGATGAATAAAAAAGCAAAACCTGGAAGAGATCAATTTTAATATTTATAAGCGCTTATACGAGCAATGAATATTCCTAAGATTATTCGAAAAAATTATGAAAAAAAATAAATTGAAATTTTACGAAAGTGGGAAAGATAACATCAAAAAGCCATCTTATTCGCTATATTAAGGAAGAAAATTAACTGCCTCTAGTAAATATCAAAAAAAAAAAAAATTGTGGAAAAGAATTTCCATAGCTTAATATTAATAAACCAATTGAAAATAATTAAATAAATATTACCTGCTAATTTATCATCAGTATTTGAATTAAGCACAAGAAATTCAGTGCCGTTGAAATCAACAAATGAGTGATTATTTCCTACATAATTAGAATCTTTTCCATGAGATGGTACCATATTCTCCTGGAAAATATATTTTTCAAATTTAAAGAAATCAAATACCAGTTACAAATTGTAAAGGCCACTGATACAAAAGAAAATCAAAACCAAGCCACCGTATACGTAATCTATCAATCATCGTACTCACCAAACTGTTTCTCTCAGGAGCCCACTGCAAAAGGAAATAATAGAGTGAATCGACATGACGACTTGGAATGGCAAACCAGAAGCGATCTTCTTGACTAATCACCAAAAAATTATCCTCACCTGGAACCGGAAATCTCTATAAAATTTATTTTATTAAGAAGCTAAATTATGGGAATTTTTAGAAATACAGTAGCAGAATAAGGCGAAATAATAGAAAATTCAATCGATCTGCGATTTAAGCATTAACCAGAGTATTGTAATAAGTTAAAACTCCATGTGACTAGCAAAATACTACTTCAATTAATATCTCTTCGAAATTTGCATCGTATTCACGAAAATCAAATAATTCCCTCACACCACAACTAACTCCTCCGATATTTCCTGGCTTGAGAGATTTATCACAAACGGTAAAAGATTTTAAGGCAAAAGTATACCAAGTACTTTGATGACTAGTTTATATGGAAGATTCTGAAGAAATTTAAAAAAAAAAAATCAAGGACCTATGTGGGGCTTAAGATAGTGATAATCAGGAAAGAGTGCAATGCAGCAAGCTTTAACGTAGTCTCAAAGAATATTGAGGATTTGTAGTTAGTGGTTGGGAAGTTACGCGCAGGATTCAAACAAATGTCAAAAACGAGCTAAAATGAAAGAAAATATCAGAGGTAAATAAGATGTTAAAGATAATAACTGGCTTAAGAAGGTATTACGTAAGTTTTCAATGGAGCTAAAAAATGTTTTTGCAAATATAGCTTTCGACGAAACAGATGATTATTAATACACGAGTTTAAAGTCAAATTATCAAGGAGTTATGAGAGAAAATGTGTTTAGAGTGGTATAGACTATATCTTCCTATAGCCAAGTGATTTTCGAGAAAAATTTACCTAGCTAAGCAAGCCAGCAGAAATAGCGAATGTTCTTAGAAAAAAAAGCTTTGTAACAATATTACTAAGGTTTGATGGAGCATCAAGGGAATATAACGGGATGGTGGCAGAAAAAAAATATGAGAATCCGAGAAAGTCTTCCGGAAAGCACAACGGAATCTGGAGGAAGGTTTTGAAGATTTAAGAAAATAATGAGGATAAAATATGGTTAATAGGAGCTTTCATAGAATGTGATCAGTACTCAATATTATCTCAATGCCTAATAGGTCATTAAAATTTTTCGGAAGTTTGGAGTGATGCAATGAAAAAATCATAGTAAAAAGAAAATTCAGAAAAAAACTGATTAAGGAAGGATTTACTAACTTTGTTCAAAATTCAACGCATATTTCAACCGCACAGTCATGTAACAAGGCATATCAGCGGAACGATTTCCTAACAATTCATCAACATGTCGAAATAAATCAGGCTCATCGCCCAACGAGGTAGCACAAGAAAATCTGCAAATATGGCATTGAAAGAAATGATTTTAAGAAAAATGCTTAGTGTTCCAAAAAAAACTCGAATTTATTTTTAACTGATTCGCTGAAGGCTGAGCGATATTTTTAAGCGACAAAAAAGGACATATGTCCAATAAATGATTAAACCACAATATAAAAATTTAAAATCATAGGAGAGAAAAAATTTGAATTTCTTAGAACCGAAACTTACAGGATTCCTCTCTCTTTTTTTGCTTTTTCTCTGGCTAAAATTGTTTTTTCTTGCAGTGTTTTCAATGTTGCCAAGTTTTGTTGACATCGAAGCGATTCTGTGGCTTTTTCGTTCTAAAACGGAGAGATAAAAAAAGTTTAAATATCAGGAAGTTCCATTATAATTCCCTAGAATCGAATTGAACCATCTTATAATATTTTGAAGTTCAAACAAAAACAATAAAGACAAAAATGATGTGACCAACGATATTTATAACTAAGAAAATATTACAAAACATCCAACATCCAAACTTTATGCAAAAATTCAAAACTTTAGAAAAAAACTTTAGAAAAAGATTCTAATATCAGTATCAAATATCAAAATGTTTTATATATCGAGATATAATTAATAAAATTATATATACCATCTGTTTAAGTTGTTGCGATGTTTGTTGACCATCACTGAACAATTCACTACCTATCATAGCAATGCCTTGCGGCATGGATGCCACTACGTCAACAGCAACCTTTGCATGAGTTGCTGCCAATTTGGCGCTTGCTTGAATACCCGTTTGTAAAGAACCTTTGATTCACATAACAATATATTAATACATAAAGCGCATAGTTGACTATAAAGCTGAATTAAGGTTGAAAAAGAATGTTAGCAAATCTACAAAAAAAGCATATTTGATGTAGGATATATCATGGTTTTTCATCTAAACTACCTGAAAAATTATTATCTTAAATAGTGAATTAAAATGAACCGAAAGACGAATTCAAAAAAGTACCAACCTTTATAGAAATAATACTAATTATAATCATTAATTAAGAGCACAACAATCAAGGAATGCGACAATTATCTTACCGGCAGCAGATTTAGTATGAGAAGCTACGCCGTGGGCAACGGTCATCGTACCGCTGACCGCAGTTTGAGTCATTCGTTCCGCACTCGATGCCACTGTTCCACGAATACTATTTGCGTGAGCACTAAAATATAACTAAAAAATATTCAAAAAAAAGTTAAGAATTAAAGATTTTATGAGTTAATGCAACTCTGGAAAGTTCCATATGATTTTGAAGAAAAAAAAGCCAATATTCATTCAAAAATTTTTATTCAAAAAGACGTGCAAATTTTGTTTCATACTTATTGGCAATCTGAAGATAACATCTCCACAGAATTTTTCAGGTATCTTAACGAAAAATTGCGCAAGATAATTTTCGTGATGGTCCAAAGAATAGAACCCTTCACTGAAGAAAGAATGAAAATTTGTATTGAAATGATGATGCAATGACTAAATACAACGAATGGTGTAATGGAACAAGCACCAAGAAAGATGCGATCCCACGAATTTTAATTTTAGTCGCAATGCGAAACTGATATACCACAAATGCTCCACATGCTTTATTTTTAATATCTTTGAAAACCCCCGTATCGTATAGTGCATTTTATTCCCAATCATATTTGGTAATTATCAGTGACCAAAGAAGCTTTGTCTATCATTGAAATCAAAATTGCCAGCTCAAAGCCTCACGAATTAGATATGGACAGTCAGCCATTTCACATATCAGCATAAAAGGTACAACTTTTACGTTTTGTGCGGCATTTCATTTTAAAGTTAATACAAAAAATTAGACGTCATGAATATGAATCATTTTCCCTTATCTTTAGAACGATAAAAAATGAAAATAATTGAATCAGCTTTAGAATATAAAAGTACTGAAAAGTCGTCTAAAAAAATCAGCCTTAATTAAAGTCATAAAGTCAACGAGAAATGAAGGACTAGAAAAACTTTCTGGATTACTCAGTAAGACGAGAAATAATAGAAATAATAAAAGCAGAAAAACCACAAAGTTAAAAAAACGAAACCATTTGGGAAAGTAATGGTGAAAGTCAAAATTTATTCTTAGATAGCTCATTTTTTCGCTGTTTTCTTTAAATTATCTCATTCTAATATATTTATGACCAGAATAAAAAAAACAAACAATAAATTATAATAAAAAAAAAGAACCTTAGCGTACGGCCTAATCGGAAGAAGGAATTTCCACTCTGGAAAGAAGTATCATTATGGCTTGTTTTATTCGCTCCCTCATTCTTTTTCTTAGATGACCGGGACTCAGAAAATGAACGATGATAATCTGTTTTGGTAAGTCTGAAAACATAACAACACCTTATGCCATTAAAATCCTTCCTGTAATAAATAAACTGGAAAGTCATAATAAGCTAAGTTTAACGAGAATAAAAAGAATCCTAAAATTCGATTATAGAATCATTTATAGAATCAATAAAACAATTTACGATGAAAATATTAAAAAAAAAAGAATATGAGCAATTAAAATATATACTCTTCTGATTTTCCATGAAGTGAAGCCGATCGCCCTTTGTCCAAATCTTAAAGATTAAATATAAATTTATATAAAAATTTGGTAACTGCCATCAATTTCTTTAAAATATAAATTTATAAAAGTATCAAAAAAAGAACAAAACGACAGGAAAAATTTGTTTTTATAGCATTCAGTACCAGAAGAAACTAACCATTATTTACAAAGGGTGAAAATTGAAGTTCATTGGCTCGACTCAAAATCTGGTTGACTGGCTATAAGAAAAACGAAATAAAATTTAAAAAATTTGAATTTAAAATTTTTACAAATTTTTAAAAATAAAATTTTTAGAACAGTAATATTTGCATAAAACATCACGGGAATTCGAAATACTAAAATTAATTAAAAATAAAAATGTTATTTTATTAAAAATGATATGAACTTGAAAAAATTGATTTTCGAACCATAGATAATAAAACTAACAATTTCGCCGGAGTCCAAGTTATTGATAGGCTCGTTTTCAAGTTTAGCCAAATACGAGCCTGAAAACATATTAAGAAATATATTATCGAACCGATAATGGTCGGAGCGAGTCACAAAGGTTTAAGAATAAAACAAATTCGAAGTCGAGATGATCAATTTTTTTCTTAGAGAGGTCATAATCATTTATTTTCGCTATTTTAGTTCTAAAAAGTTCGGCGTCCTAGTTTGAGATTATTACTTCAAGAACGTTACAACCATAAAATTTTCGATTCAATTAAAAATTCGCTTCGACAAATCCAATCAGAATCTTCAGATTGATAGTGCCTATGGAAACGATAGTGAAGTATTACAAAGAAAACTTGGGAAACAATGAAATAAAATTTTAAAAGCTTAGAAGGCTTAAAGCTTAATTTCAAGAAACAACGGGAAAACAAGTGCTTACCATATGAATCTAATGAACCGTTGGATGAATCAGCAAATTCAAATCCTGCTGTAGAGTCTTTGATCTGTCTTGACCCACTCTAAATGTGAAAATTACTGAAAACAAAAAAAAACGAAGAAGTGCGAGATTCCTCATTCTTAGTTGCCATAATTCAAATATGTTGAAAAAATTGGCCATACAACTCCAAATAAAATGTGAAAAATTTGCCTCTCTAATAATACATTACCTCTATGCCTAAATTTTAAAGGTTCCCTGAGTTTGAACTCTAAAATTTGGATATAATATTCAATACTATTCGAGAAGGGACAAATCAAATCTATCTACTTATTGGCTCACCAGTGCTCATATGTACACTAAAATTCTAGGATGAATTATTTATGATAAATTATATAACCTTTCCGATATTAATAGTTTATTTTCTATTGTAATTTTTTCATGAAAAAAAAACCAACTATAACTCAGATTCTTCGTAATCTCTATGAGCGTTATCAGAGGACCATGGTCAGAATATCCGTTGCATACGCTAATTTATGTAAGGCTTTCGACACGGCATCACATCGTTAATTTTAGATAACTATCATTTCAATATGGGTAATACATTGAATATTACAGGTAACCTGTTTAATCGGGTTATCATCTAAATAGTCGAGCAACTCGTGTTAACGACTCTATTTCCCGTTACTTCTTGGTTTATTGTTCTAAGTAATTGTATTACTCCTTTTTTATTTGTTATGTATATTAATGGATCATCAATGTTACTCCTAATTCTAAAATGTACTGATAATTCTAAGATTATGCTAATAACATGTGGGGGCGAGAGAATTTGTCTTACAGATTGATGTGAATATAATTAAGTGGATATAAGGTGGAGTAATAAAATTATCTACAGAGAAATGCAAAATTTTAAATATTTATTAAAAATTCTCCATTCCAGCTCCTAGGTTTTTTGACTAGGTTACTCGTCTCCCTAGTATTTTAGCTATCTCGACGGACAAAAAAAAGTTTTAGATTCTAAAATTATATTCAGAATTTTTAAAATTGGATCTAAAACCTTCCTTACAAATATATAAGGGTAAAATTTTTGTCCGACCACACAGGGTTATAATAAAATAAGTTCTCCTCCCTATTAAGACAATTCAATAAGACAATTAAATTAAGATCTAAAAAAACGTAAAACGTTTCTTTCCGTTATTTAAAACCCTGATTCTTCCATAACTTATATGTTTAAATTTAATGAAGAAATATGCTCGAAAATCATTAATAAATAGAAATAACCAAGATCAGACTTCTAAATACAAAATATAATTTGGCTTATTTAGGTTTAAACCTTATCACCACTCTAGGTAAAATAGCTGAGTCCCAGATTATCGTGTTAAGAATCCATGCCCCTACCTTCACGAGGCGTAAACCTGTTGCTAGAAAATCCAGGCGACCTGACTCAACAATTAGATTTAGAAGTAATTATCATGTTGTATAATCCAATCCATAGCTTGACATTACTGTTTTATTATTTTTTATTGTATTTTTATTATACGATAAATTTTAATACTTCTTATTTATTTATGCATAAGCATAAATATTCTAGTTTTCCTTGATGCTTAAGTTACTGTTTAATACAACCTGCCGCCACATAGATTTTTTAAATAAATCGTCAATAACACTTCGGTTTTTTAATGAGAGGTTTATCGAAGTAGAAGCAGTGACCTTTAACATGTTCGATTATCCTGCCTAGCGGTTCTTATGTATTAAATTGTCTTTAACATAATGTTAAGAATTTTTTTGAATGAAATTCTGTGGTTGTTGTTGCTTATTTTAAAAAAAAAAACGTTTATGCTCCTTAAAAGACAAAGAGAATGCCCAGTCGTCAAAAGATTAAATGGAATTTTAATAGGATAATTTAATAGGGAAAAAAAATTTTAAAAGCGAAATTCTGTGCATACTTCATCGTCCAAGGGCGCAGCTAAATTACCACAACTTGAAACTGCAGAATTGGTATAAGTATCTTTGCCAACCGTCTCGTGCCTCTCTTTATACAATGCTATACAAGCAATATCTTCCATCCTGAAAAATTGAAAATTGTTAAATAACTCGACAAAAAAAGCACACCGACTTTTTAAGAAAGTGAATAATATGCCTAAAGTTCTTCAATTCCTTCCCTCATTCCCTTCCCTCCTCACCCAACTTCCTTTCCAGTTGTCAGAAAATGGTTACGACATTCAACGAAAAAAAAATACCTTGCCATCATTATATAGATTTCCTGTCCATTTTCAATAACAAGAGGATGATTAACATCAGGATCAAACATTAAAGCATTTGGTGTCACCAGAAGAGTGCCACTTACTGTCCCAGTTTTTTCATTGATTTTTTTGACCTGAATATATAAATGGCATTAAATTTAAATAATAAACAATTATCTTCATAAATTATTCATGAAATAAGTCGCGGTGAATATTTTTTCTGTTCATATACGATTAGATCCGATCAAAGTGAATAGTATTTGATAATTCCCATAAACGGAGATATGACAGTAAGAAAAAAATTATGTGGACGACAAGTTGGTTTTCTGCATAAAATATGCATATATATATATATATATATATATGTATATAAATACTTTTATCTTCAAAAATCTTCTCAAGCAATCCGTGTCGACGTCTTCATCGAGTGAAGCATCTTTAACAGTATTTTTTGGACTTTTATGTATTTGAGCGACATCATTATCCATTGTTGGAGTTTTTAAAATTGCTATGCCTGGTCCTTTACGGATTCCATCGTCATCTAAAACATACGAAAATTTTTCTAAATTTTCCTCCCAAAAAATGGCATTTCTTTTTATGAGAAAAGTGGCATAAAAAAGAAAAAATGATGTACCATTGGTGTTTAAAGTAGAGACAGTGGCATTTTCTGATGCAGCACCTGACTGTATATTTAACGACTCCAGTTCGGCTAACGGTGAAGCAGAATCGACGTGATTTCCTAATGATACTTCATATTTTTCAGTGAATGAAGGAACAAGAAGCTTCTGACCAGGAAATATCTGGAATTGATATTTAAGCAATTAATTAAGCACAAATGAAAAAAACTTGTTTTAAGTTAAAATAAATGATAAATTTCGTATTTTTTGAATATATGCTGCTTTGATATGAGCTGACACATATTTTTGATATGACACATATTTCGCTATTTGCTAAACACTATGATGGATGGCGTCAAAAGGAATGAGGATAGTCAATCAACATCTGGACTATCAGGAAAGATTTTGAACATATAAGTGGACCAGCGATATATGGACTTAAATGATGGAAAAAGGAATGACTTTTGACGATGAAGATGGAAGGGCTTGGAAACGTCTTACCAATGTAGCCAGGGGAATCAGCCTAACCAGTAATGGTAAAAGATGCTAGAAGAAGAAGATATGAGTTGAATTTTATGAAGAGACAACAAATTTTTTTAGTTGCCATAAACAAATGAAGAAAAATAACATAAGAAAAACAGAAATCTTGCAGACATTTGGACAAAAATGTCACAAATTTGAAAACGTTCCCTAAGGTGACAGTCAAAACAACTTCCATTTACTATATTTCACTTTGAAATGGCCACAAAATAAACGAATAATTAACATACCATACGGCTGCCCAATTTATTCAATTTCATTAGTTCACTAATTGTACAATCGTGAAACGCTGCTATCCTTGCTAAAGTATCCGAATCCTTCACAGTGTATTCCATCTATAATAGTAATAATAAAAATAATAATATATAAAAAATGCTATCTGACAACCTACCCAATATAAAAAAAATGGTACCTTATCGCATATCTAATTTAAATTCCGCACCCATTCTTAAAAACCGAAAAATAATGCAATTTTCTAATGAACAGCGAAAAAAAAAATGAATTCTCAAATTTCCTTGGTTTTTATTAAAAGAAATCGTTCAATAACACCAATTTTTTTATCCAAATACATAAAAATCTTATTGCTGGAATAAAAATTATAAAAATAAATGATATAGCGTTCTTCGATGACCTTGCAATGATCATAAAATATTCCATAGACGAAATTAAACTATAATTCAAGAAAAAAATGATCGTATATATCAGCGCATTCGTTTCGCCTCCTAGAAATCCTCAAAATTCCATTTACATAATTGTTGAAATTCTTTAACTATCCAGGGAATCCTCAAAATAAAAAAAGAAGTGTTTTACAAAATTCAGTCGATTCGCAAACACTGCAAACAAATGTTCTACATGAAAAAATGAAGTGTTTTATCGAAAATATAAAAAAAAACGAGAATGTTAAAACGAAAAAAATAGTCTAAATATTCATACAAGTTCAAATATTTATGAAAATCATCATTATTCTTTGCATATATAATCAAAAGAAATAAAGAAAAGTTATCTGAAGGAAAGAGGGATAGTCAAACTGACTGACTAACTGACTGATTGACTGATACAGATCATTGCGATCATTGCGGTCAGAGTTCCGATTCTGCTACTTAGACACGAGCAAGGTTGTCAATGAAAAATCGGGATGCTACTGACGACCCGCCTTTACTTTTATCACCAAGTTTTTCCTGCTCTCTAACCATACTCATCCAGGGAAGATAGCTTAATCATAAATGATGAGTGATAACGACTAATGGAGTTATTCTGATGATTCTGGAAATGACCTTCATTAGCCTCATTTTACAAACTTATTATACCCTATAATTTCAAGATTTTGCAAAAGAATAATTGAATATTTAACTTAAATGTCGTGTAAGAAAGGTAAACCTATTGCAAGAAAAAAACGGGGAATTCGCACAGTATATCGAAAAAAACAGCCATTCATATAGCAGAATAATATGGACTTTCTTATGGATCTTTTCTAATAGCTCGCAGCATTCCTGGTTTGGCTCATCACACTAGTGAATAGAGTTTCTAAGACATTTCCAAGCCTCACGATCCCATGCAGTTCCTAACTAAAGCCACTATTTTATTCCATATTCATACATTCGCTGGGTTGCCAATGTGCTTCCAAATATTCTTTGAACGTATCAGTTCAGGTTTTTATCAGTCATCCTCGCTTTTAACATCATCCATCATGAATTTTATGAATTTTTATGGATTCGCATATATAAAAATCAAATAAAATATGAAAAACAGTAGAGCACCACAACTTCTTAAATATCTTTTGTTGCTTCAAATATCATTAATATTATTAATATTATTAAGTAATTTTCTATTAAAATTTTTCTATTAAAATAACTTGTAGGCAACGTTCATTTATCTAATAAAAGCATCGAGTAATATGATGCAAAAAAAGAGAGAAATGCAAATATCCACAAATATAAACAGGCACATTTGGTTCGACTGACTCTATTGACAACTCTCATCATTCTCCTAGCGACTTGCCACAGAGAGAATACATGGAGACATGGTGATTCCATAGCAGCCATACAAATGTCCACTGGCAAATTTATAAATCTAAATCTTGCTTGATCGATGAAAACTAATTCTAACCACTGCCTCTTCTCTGGACATTTTTATAAAAGCCCATTGGTACAAATTGCTGACAAAATTCAAAATGTCAAAAAAGTGCAAATAAAATTTTTTATCCTAATTTATTGCTTGTCAATCGTCAATCATTTGTATCTCCTATACTCGTAACTGAACAAAAAGAAATCCTAAATTTAATACTAAATAAATCGCTCGTTGATTTATTTTTTTTTATTATTAAATGAGTCCAATAATTTTGATTTTGATAAAAATCTCAATTTCAAGATTAAATAGCAAAGATAAATGTCACTCATGAATTCATTTTGAAAAAAGAATTGCTGAAATTATCTGAAAAAAATCCTTTACCAAGTGGAAATGTTCAAATGTTGAAAATGTTCAAAGAGAAATGATTTATTTTGTCGACCTTGGAAATAAGCTGTCAATGAACTATAAATTATTAAACTATAAAGAACAAATCATTTGTCATATTTAAATTTCGCCGTTATAATATGTTCAAATAAATTTGGCTTTCCATCCAATTTTTTTAAAAAATTCTCACCATTACTGGTTAAACTCGCTCCGCTGGCTTGTCACACTGGACAAATATGCTAGGTAGAATACTCGTGTCGATAGAAGCACAGGTTAGTCGCCAGCATCACCCGGGTTTTTGGACAAGTTTACTTCTGCGGGAAATAGAACCCCAGCATTGACGCTCCGAAATCAACAACAACCCACTGACTCATTTTATCCTTTACCCAATCTACCATCTACCATGTTTAGACGATATTTCGCAAAAAAACTTCTAAAATTTCTAAGACCCATAAAATCTACATGATATAAGATCTAATGAAAAATTCCTATCGAAGATCTAATGATAAATTCCTCATAAAGTATGCTAGGTGAATGAGGTTAAAAGAAAAAAATTTTTAATATTCAAGTTAAAAAAGCCTGTCGGCACCGCACGATTAATACATGGACCATTTAAAATTCTCTTTATACTATAAGTCAAAAAATCTAACATCCAATCACCACTCAAAATGGGAATAAGGGAATAAATTCTTCTAAAATTCAAAAATGAAAAGGACAATTTTCACTAACATCCGTCGATTTATTTGAAATATTTCAACAAATGCCAAAAAACAATCGCTTCAAAATTTTCCAGATTTATATTTTTTCAATCTAAAAATTTACTATAGTTGTTAGGATTTTTTGTTCATGGCACAAATAATTACTATGTGCATGTGGCACTTCAACAAGTTTAAATCAATTTCTCAAATAATAACTAATAATTATAAAATTAATATTTAAAAATATAACAAATAATAACTAAAATTTTAAATAATAACTAATATATTTCATACTTATAATTCAGTAATCAATCAAAAACCTCACGTGCACAGTAAGAAAAATTAATTAATATTTTTATTCCAAAATTCCGCAATAAACTAGAATATCTCCTTTAAATTGGAGTATTTCTCTTCGCATTTTTTTTTGTAAATTCATTGCCGGTTGAGGAAGTGCCCGATTTCAAATACCTTGGGTCCACTCTAATACCAAATGGACAGGCAAAAGATGATACTATAACTCGGATAAAGGAAGCTAAAAATGCGTTCTTCCGGCTGACGAAACCTTTATGGAATCGTCATGAAATCACCATAAAAACGAGAGATCGCATCTATATTGCCGTGATCCGTTCGATCTTACTATATGGTTCTGAGACATGGCCAATGAGAGTGGAGGATATTAAGAAGTTATCTGCCTTTGACCATTCTTGTCTAAGGTACATATTACGGACCCGTCGAGCGGATAAAATATCACTACATCGCATCCACCTTCGTTCAAGTACCACTTGCATAAATAATGTTACCACAGAGCGCTGCCTTCGCTGGTTAGAGCCACCACAGAAGTTGATGCATATTTCGTTATTTGCTAAACCGTGTGATGGTTGGCGTCAAAAGCGAGGTGGGCCAATCAAGACCTGGACTGATACGGTGAGAAAAGATTTTGAACGCATAGGTGAACCAGCAATATATGGACTTGGACGATGGAAAAAGGAATGGCTTCCATTACTGTCGACGATGGCATCAGACCGCACCACCTGGAAGCTCTTAGCCTTATAACTAGTGAAGTCAGCCTAACCAATGGTGAGAGCTGTTAGAAGAAGAATTTCTCTTCGTGAGAACACAGCCTTCATCAATTTATTGTCCTCTATTTGTTCAAATTACTTTCTTAAATTAAATATATTAGAGATGAAAATGTGCTAAAAGAGTTTTGAATCTTAGAAAATTTATAGGTTGCAAGCGATCCTTGTTCACTTCATTTCCAGTTTCTAGCAAATCCCACAGCTTATCTAACATCTAAATAATATAATTTTACCAACTAATTTAATACAACTTTAAAGTTCATTTCCTTTCGATAATTTTACTTCTTTTCCTTTTCAAAAAAGAAGTTCATAAAAAAAATCCAAGGAAAAGCACATAATGAAAAGTAATTCATTGCAGTGTAATGATTCTACTCGAATCAAAAAAAAGAATGAATTTCTAACTAAGCTAATACCTTATAACCATTTATAATCACTTATTTCATTCAGTGGTTTTTTTTTTCAATCCACTTGAAAATAAAAGAAGAATTGGTTCACTCTAAAGTTGATATTCTATGAAGCAAAGCAAGATTTTTAAAGTTTAAAATATTTCAAAAATAAATAATCAAATAATATTTATATCAAGCTGAAATTATAACAATGCGTCATTTAAAGCTAAAACCACAACTTATGAAAAATGATTGATTGATATTGATGATTAATATTTATTAATTAAACCCAAACAAATAATAATCAATCACTCATAAAAAATATATATTTATTAAGTTGTGCAATAAGAAAAATCATTCATCTTCATCTAATAAATGGCGAATGAACGAATAAATGAGAAAAAAGTGATAACAAAATTTCAAGCTATCATTAAGTGATAAAGTTATCACGTACTGACCATAAAAATTCTATCAACTAGAAATATCTAAAATTCAATAAAAAAAAAAAAGCGAATCGAACGAAGAAATGTGACAGACAACTAAATTATTGTTGTCAATAAATATTGCCATTCAATTAAATTCACTGCCTTAAAGTCAATGATCAAACATATAAATAAAATAGATAAAAATACTAGAAGAAACAAAAAAAGAATGGAAACCACCTGTTTTCTAATTTTAGTTTTTAATTTTTCTAAATTGGGATGCAATTCATGGAAAATGATTA